CTCACAACTTTAACTCATTCTCACCCCTGAAGACACATTTGAATTCTTCCAATTCAAAGGTTGGAATAGTTCATTATGAAATTACAGGGGTAAATGAGTTGATTCTATTTGCAACCTATTGCTCCCATCCCACCATCACCCTCAGGGTGTGCACCCTCACCCTAATCCTATATCATCATAACTCTTGTCCCATCCTCCAGTTCATTTTCAATGTTTCTTTATAAATTAAAAATTCTGGAGATGTGGACCAGTCTTATAATTTCATCACACACATTTTTATGTTTACATTACCAAAATTACATGTAAGTAATCAGTTTTAATCATTGTAAAAATGTCTTACATTTAAATTTTCCCTTTAAACATCATTAAGTTAAATACTCCAGTTACGAATTCATCAGAACAACATATGTCTCCAAATTTTATTTCTGTTTTACATATATATCTTACGTCCCTTAATGCAATATCTTCACATACATACTTATACATGTTGTGTCCCTCAGCATTAATTGAATCGTGTCGGTGTTTTAATTTAGGACTGGAGTTTTACAGCGTGTTGTCCCTTGTCAGGCCTGATTTCATTCAAATGAACATAACTTTATATGTGCAACACTTTAACACCAATTACATCACCAAAGTAGGGCGGGATTGTCAGAAAAAACATAACGATCACAGAAAGTAAATTTCTTTCTAGTACATGTACCATCAATATGTTTTCTGATAACATTATGGGTCTCAGTAACGCTCATACTTGGTGAAGTAATATTGGTGTGGAGGACATGTTTGAGGAATAACTGGGCTTTTTCTTTATCTGGCAGCACTGGGCACTAGATATCTGCACGTAATTAGTCGAAGCCTCGGTAGACTCTTGTAGAAGGTAAAGTATTGTATTCAGTTTGTCGAATATATCTTTTTCTAAACCGTATGTGCTTGTGAAAATCAATATTACGCATAAATAAACTCAAAATCTGAATTTTAACTGTCGCAAGAAATAATTTCATTTCTTCCCATCTTGTCTGATGTGTCAGAAAATGTGAAGTACTATTTACTATTATTTCTGTCTGTCAATCAATAATTCGAAATATGCATTGATTTGTACTGCAGGTACAGTTCTAATTACGGGCAGGTATCCACTTTTTTTAACACAACAGAGGACGAAGTGTGTCCAGACGTTGACCAATGATGATCGCCTGCCAGTGAATAACTATACAGCTTCCTCAGGTCGGAGCCAAATAACAGCTAGTGTCTCTGTGATCTGTCACTATATACAACTGTCCTCAGGTCGGAGCCAAATAACAGCTAGTGTCTCTGTGATCTGTAACTATACAACTGTCCTCAGGTCGGAGCCAAATAACAGCTAGTGTCTCTGAGATCTGTAACTATACAGCGGTCCTCAGGTCGGAGCCAAATAACAGCTAGTGTCTCTGTGATCCTGTCACTATACAACTGTCCTCAGGTCGGAGCCAAATAACAGCTAGTGTCTGTGTGATCTGTAACTATATACAACTGTCCTCAGGTCAGAGCCAAATAACAGTGTCTCTGTGATCTGTAACTTTACAGCGGTCCTCAGGTCAGATTTCATTAACAGTTAAATATGTTACTCGCGTGCATAAACGATTCAAAAAGTGTCTATACTAGTTGGCAGAAGGTGTTGTGCAGTTGACTTTGCAAGGCTTCACATTAATTTTATTTAAACAGGGTCAGGTGGAAATTGCTGGCACGTACTGAGTACCTTATGGTACCGTGATTAACAGAGACGATTTAATCGAGTCCGAAGAACAGAATTGATTATATCTGCTAACCTCATGTAAACAAACAGAGTTAAGCGAGGAGGCATGTGACACGCCCACTGGTCCTGAGGTGCTATATGCAAAGCGCCCTTGGAAAGAGACCCTCCAAATAGCAGGACAATGCTGACAATGCTGAGTATATACAAGGCAAGTTAAAGGGGCCGCCAATGAAAACCACAGCAGAATGGGAACACATACAGATCCCTTGGTGTCTACTTTTATATTTTTGTTATACTAACAGATAAAACCTACTTGAACCACATGAATAATTTTTTGAACAGCTAGCTGTCTGTGGAAAGTGTGTTGCGGAATGGTGAGTTATAGCCACAACGAGACCAAATTATAGGCTAATGTGTTTACCCTGTCCCCCACCGATAGTGTGTCCAGAGTGAGCAGAGTTCTCACAGGGTACACCCTCGTTATCCTCCCATATTCTACAGTGCTACCCTCCTCGCTAGCTATCTACCCACTCAAACACACTATAAATCATCCGACATGCAGCTGACAACTTATAAAAGATATGGAAATCAGATCTAAAAATTAACAAAAATGGTCAATTCTTCTTTCCACCTCACAAAACGGTTTTTAATGTGACATCTATTCATTTGTGTGTGTATTTCAATCAGAATGAACGGAAGGTTAAAGGTCATTATTGGACTCTTTCCCATGAACAAAATAACTTTTACCTCAAAAGAAAATTCATAGAGAGCGTAATTATTTGAACATGGTGTTCCTAATCTTGAATTTATACAAAAGAAATATCCATTTGTAATTTCAGGAAAAACCAAAATCTGATGTGTATTGCAAAAGAAACTTTGTTCTGTTGCATTATGAACCTATATGTTGTAGAATGCTAAAATGTTTGATTTTATAACAGACAAGAACAAACGACTTTGAGATAACAATTTTATTGGAGACAAATCTGTTCCAATCAGTGTCGCATAGATCCAGAGCAGACCAGACAAGTCCGGACACAGGATGTTACATCAGCAGGTGTTTTTTTTCTGGACCAGTTTGCCCGGCCATGCAGGTGAGACAAAGCTGATTAATCAGGTGTTGCCAAAGGCAGAAAGGTGATGCGTGCGTTAACTATTGGAATTAAAGCCAGGTATACTATCAGATTAAAGTCTCACAACAATGGAATTAGAGCTGGACTAAAACCAGCGGAGGATGAAAGATAAACAGCAGTAGATCTACCCAAGACACATACCTCCCACTGTCACTTATAAAAGTATACACCAGTGCCAAATATCTCCTAAGATTAATGTTTAAATATGATTGGCAGGTTGTATCAGCAGAAATGACAATTCAAAATTGGTAGGTATTTTGCATACCAGACACATGTTAGTTCAACATATTGAGTTTTGCTTATGTTGGTATTTTTTACCTGAGTAAACATTAAGGCAATACACAGCCGGACAGGTAACAAACAGACCATTGTTTGGCTTTCGGATGTTGCTCACATATCCCTGGGTCCGTGTGTAACCTTATACCCCTACAACCCCACCAGATGTCTTATCAGGCCAAATTAAACTATTAAAAAGTTAAAATCCAACTATATCTACCTGTTCAGGTTCAACTTGAGGTAGCACCTCCACGTATCAAAGCCCCGTACTTGTCACCCGAATTAGCACAACAGAAACAATGCTATCGATGTCTGCACGATATACGTGCACCAAATAGGTTAGAATGACAGTGGGAACCGTACCCCCTCCAGATGTGACGGTCTTGTTACCCGATTGGTTTTATCAGCCCTTTGTAGATGATCTGATTTGATTTTATCAGGAACTGTACCCTTCATGGAGGTGCTAGACCTATAATGGTAAACCTAAACATTCCTGTAGCCAGCAAACCTGAGAGACCCTTTCTAACATTCCACTTGTGTAATGTAAGCAGTTTTTATACAACAGTCTAAACATGTCTCCTGGTGATATCATTTTTTGCTGAGAAATTGAGTGTAAAATATAAACCATTAATTGAAAAAATATTTGCAGTGGATGATAAGATCAACTGGTATTGAAAACGGATTAGATCGGGAAAACGATAATGATCCGAGCTCTCCTGGACTATGATAAAATCGGATACTACCCAGATCCAGTATTGCCAGCCCTAAATGTGTGAATAGGACGCAGCCCCAGCAAAAGGCTTGATAGGAAGATGACTTCAGGCCTATTGAGTACAAACGACGAAGTGACTGATGAGAAAAAATGAATTTATGACAATATTTCAATGAGTAAAGATAAAAAAGAAGTTAATAAATAAAAAGTATCCACACATGAAGAGATAGTTTTTATCAAATTTCTCAACTGAGCATATGAACCTTCTTCTTATTTCAAAAGAAACAGACAGATGACAGAGAAGACGAGCAACCTCACACAAACTGATCATCCATTTTGTTGTTTGTTTGTGTTTTACATCCTATTAACAGCTATGGTCATTTCAAAGTTTTTGTGGTGGAGGAAAGCCGGAGTTTCCGGAGAAAAAACGCCGGCCAATGGCCAGTACCTGACGACTGCCCCACGTTACATAGGTCTCGAACCCGCGAACCAGTGGTGGAGGGCTAGTGGTAGCAGAATGTCAGACGCCTTAACCACTTGGCCATTAGCGGCCCTTTCTGATCATCCAACAACACATATGAATGAAGAAGGTGAAAGAAATGACAATGAGTTAAAGAGGAATTATTTACAAAAGGAGAGATGGAGAAACAGACACAAATAAAACATAAACACACCGTGATGTTGTACTGATGCCACAGTTATATCCCTAACACGATACGTCATCCTCTCATTAAAATGAATCGGCAAGCCCCAACGCCTCTCAAACCAGAAACAGATCTAGATCACACAAACTATGCTACAAATGTGTATAAAGTATAAAAAAACAGCTACTTGACACATATTTAAATACCTACCAGACAGAGATCTAATTTATAAATCATCCCGAATTCAATGAATTCACCAAACATGACATCATCTGCAAATTTTTAGTGAAAATTATAAGAGATTGCTAAAATTTCATAAGGGTGACTCGTAGTTCCTGAAGAATTTTGTATGAATATGCATACAAAGAGTAATACAGTGCTCAAAAGAGACACACAATACAGTTGTATGGTGCGAATTACAAAAAAAGGCTGAACAGTTATGAGCTATTATTATCTTTATGTAAAGTAAAGCTGTGGAAGTTTTTTTTATACAACAGATGTGATGGGTGAAGGTCACACCTGTCAGGCTTCCTAGACCTCAGTCCACGTCCCCCTCCCCAGGTACCCTCCTCTATGTCCCTTCCCCCTCCCCAGGTCCCCTCCTCTATGTCCCGTCCCCCTCCCCAGGTACCCTCCTCTATGTACCTTCCCCCTCCCCAGGTACCCCCCTCTATGTCCCTTCCCCCTCCCCAGGTCCCCTCCTCTATGTCCCGTCCCCCTCCCCAGGTACCCTCCTCTATGTCCACGTCCCCCTCCCCAGGTACCCTCCTCTATGTACCTTCCCCCTCCCCAGGTACCCCCCTCTATGTCCACGTCCCCCTCCCCAGGTACCCTCCTCTATGTCCACGTCCCCCTCCCCAGGTACCCTCCTCTATGTCCTTTCCCCCTCCCCAGGTACCCTCCTCTATGTACCTTCCCCCTCCCCAGGTACCCCCCTCTATGTCCACGTCCCCCTCCCCCCGTACCCTCCTCTATGTCCCTTCCCCCTCCCCAGGGACCCTCCTCTATGTCCCCTCCCCCTCCCCGGGAACCCTCCTCTATGTCCACGTCCCCCTTCCCAATAACCCTCCTCCATGTCCACGTCCCACTCCCCAGGCACCCTCCTCTATGTCCCGTCCCCCTCCCCAGGTACCCTCCTCTATGTCCCCTCCTCTCCCCAGGTACCCCCCTCTATGTCCCTTCCCCCTCCCCAGGTACCCTCCTCTATGTCCCGTCCCCCTCCCCAGGTACCCTCCTCTATGTACCTTCCCCCTCCCCAGGTACCCCCCTCTATGTCCACGTCCCCCTCCCCAGGTACCCTCCTCTATGTACCTTCCCCCTCCCCAGGTACCCCCCTCTATGTCCCTTCCCCCTCCCCAGGGACCCTCCTCTATGTCCCCTCCCCCTCCCCAGGAACCCCCCTCTATGTCCACGTCCCCCTCCCCCCGTACCCTCCTCTATGTCCCTTCCCCCTCCCCCGGTACCCTCCTCTATGTCCCCTCCCCCTCCCCAGGTCCCCTCCTCTATGTCCCGTCCCCCTCCCCAGGTACCCTCCTCTATGTCCACCTCCCCCTCCCCAGGTACCCTCCTCTATGTACCTTCCCCCTCCCCAGGTACCCCCCTCTATGTCCACGTCCCCCTCCCCCCGTACCCTCCTCTATGTCCCTTCCCCCTCCCCAGGTACCCTCCTCTATGTCCCCTCCCCCTCCCCGGGTACCCTCCTCTATGTCCATGTCCCCCTCCCCAATAACCCTCCTCCATGTCCACGTCCCACTCCCCAGGTACCCTCCTCTATGTCCCGTCCTCCTCCCCAGGTACCCTCCTCTATGTCCCCTCCCCCTCCCCAGGAACCCCCCTCTATGTCCACGTCCCCCTCCCCTGGTACCCTCCTCTATGTCCCCTC